CATAAATTAACACACAATGACTGTGGACCTAAGCGAGCGGAACCGATTTTTTGTGAGTGCGCGCAAAAAGTTGCACACGACATATACGTAATGCCATCTAACGGCACGCGACAGAACTAATGTTTCATGAAAAGCAAAATGGGGCTGACGATTTGATGACACTAAATTCTCGATAAAAGAAATAAAAATTAAAACTTTATTTTCAACATCGCATGGTATTTTGTATTAAATACTCGAAATTTGTTTCTCGCTTATATAGTAACATCGAAATATTCAGAAGTCAGATCATTCAGAAATTAATTACAATGTTATCATATGTGTTATCATACGTGTAATCTTTTGTACTTTCGTTATTTTTCATTCGTTACTTTGCGTTTTTTTCATAAGATTAACAATTCAAATTTAAAGTTTTGACTTTGTTATCATTGTGCTTAATCAGAAATATAAATTTAGAATTTATTTATTTATTTAAATAATATTTATTTAAATAATATTTTTAGTCAAATTTTTATATAGATTTATATCCCTACTATCATTCTTTTCTCTCTCCAATATAAAAAATTTATCACTCACCGATTCGATGCGCAGCAGCGGAGTTAATCTGCAATGTAGCTGCGATGATTCTGTAACACACAAACAGAACATGCAAATTATAGCAGCGCTCTAAATGATAGATATTTTAAAAAGTAATGTTTACGCGTATCGAATCTACATGTTTTTCAAATAAATATTTATATTCGATATTATTAAAATATATAATTTTCAAAAAAGATCTTTATATTTATAGAAATAAATTCATATCATAAATTTTAAATTATTTTAAATTGTTTTTCTTTCCTAAACTTTAAATTTTAAATTAACTTTAATGATCCAAATAAATAAGAAAAACGAATAATTTTATGTTGAAAAAAATGTATATTTACCGCAAGGTTGCTCCGCCGGTGCCCGATGCCTCTCCTAGGCCTCCTCCTCCTCGTCTCAGGATGTTAGGTCGTCTGATCTCCTCGTGTAGCACAGAACACTCTCGAATTATTGTAATCGCGCGCAGACTAATTTTAAATAAAAGTCTTTCGCGCGATATTTTACGGCACTCCGCGTTTATGCCCGTGAAAATATCAAGTTCCATCGGACCAATCTGTACTCCTTGAAAGTACTCTCGGCATGAATAATATTTCTCGAACGAGCCCTCATCGTAGGACGAAGAAAAGTCTTTTTAGTCCGATCACTTACGACATTCTCGAAATAAACGCGCGGCACGACGAACTGGTTACAGTTCGTTCACTCACTTAAATCAACGGCGAAATGTCGAATCAAAACCGACAATTGATGCGTGAAACGCATTTGCCACATAAGAGCCATTGAACGACTCGTGGCTATACTGTGTTAATATATTATTAATAACAATAATATTAACCTAACGTTAATATTGATGTTATTAATAACGGTGCAATGGGTACTGTTAGCTTCTTCGTCTTTGGAATTCCGTTGGGAAACCCAACGGAATCCCTCGGAATACTGAGCCCCTCTGCCACGTCAAGGCTGTACCCAGGGTAGGGGTTAATATTTAAAAAGTTATTAATTTCTAAGAAATAAGTTACTCGAAATATGTATATATTTTATTAGAGAGTCGTTATTTCGATATGCTTATAACTCGTTAATCACGCCAGTTAATAATATAATAATAAATAAGATTTATTATCGCATTCATAAGATAGAGCAACGTTTGATTATTATTTAGTATCAAAGAAATGCGAAGAAATGCGGAACAGCGTGTTTTGCTACCTGCCCGTGCGAACGCCGATGAATGAATGATAGCGCGTGGAGCATTTGTAAACACGTGGCGCGCTATTCGCGCTCGTAAACACGTGACCAGCCGCGGCGCGTAAACACAACCCAAGGCTACACAATAGCCTGGCTATAAAATACGAAATATTCAACAATGTTACGAACAAAATTTAATTTCCACAAAGTGTTATAGTCATATATTTTTCGATAATTATAGATTATTAAATAATATAATTGTTACATTCTAAATAACTTTTAAATGATCTGTATCATAGATTTGTTATTTCATTCAGGATGCGTTTGTTTGGGCGCTCACGCGCTGCAAGTGTTGTTCTATCTTCCTGAAAGATATTAGCACATGATATTGGCACATGTAACTGAAAAATTGAAAATAGAACAATAGAAGAATAAACACTTGGACTGAAAATGCAATACATTTGAAGAAATGATAGTGAAAGATATTTATTAGTTTCGGAAAAATAAACCGACTGGATTTAAAACTCGAGATCCCTCGCTTATCACAAGACATTTAGTCTGCCGGACCACGACGGCTCCTCTTCGTTACCTATTTATATTTCGAATTTCTTTCATAACTGATTACGGTCGTCTATTTCTTAAATTCCTTTGTAAGATGTGTAAAGAATAATAAAGATAGAATGATGCTTATAGCGCGTGAGCAAAGCAAACGCATCCTTAACAGACTCGTTACCATTTTTTTATTTAGATAAGCATATAAAGATATCTTATTTTTTCTGTTACTATAACCTATCGTTATACTGTCTACTTATTATAAAATAGAATGCAAATTATATTTAAATAAAAATTTCAAGATTAACGTTACAAATATTCGGATTAGATCATCAAATAAACTCTTACTCTTCGAGATACACAGCCTTTCCGTCATGTCAAGACAATCTTTCCCGTCGGAAAGATTATCATTTACCAAAAGATATGAATTATCACTATGTTTAAAAAAATAAACATGAGCCATTTCCGCCGCCCGGAATATTTAATGAAACATTGAGATGTTTTTTGATACGTATGAATCCGACAAAGTCCCTAACAGCGCGAGCTATCAACGTTTAACATACATCGATGTTCTGTGTTATTTGGAATTTGTCGCGATTTCGTTTTGAAAAGAAAACACGAAAATACGCAGGCGATACGCAACACCACTAGCTTGTACGAAAGTCGACGGCTGAATGATAGCGCGCTACGTATGCGCCATTGTCTCGCTACTTCAGACATAAACAAGCGTTTTAACAATTATAATAAAATTACATTTATAATAAAATTAAATATTACAAAATAATATCTTTTCGTTAGATTCTATGCAATGGAGGAGATATTAGGAACAAGAATAAATATCAAATCTTGAAAATGAAAATTTGGACTATGAAGATTAAATGTACAATGGATACAATATAAGTATAAAATATAGCTATATATATATATATATATATATATATATATATGTAGCTATGAGTATAAGGTATAATTTATGTTTAATTCTTATTCCGAATATCTCACGAAAAAAGGCTATTCTCAAACTTTTCTCTGACAACACTAAAAAATGTCGATCCGTCAGAGATGCATTTTTCATGATCGATATCAAATCATATCATTGTACATTTTTGTTTTTTCTTTAATTTATGAATTCTTTAATTTAGCTTAAGTTAGTAAACACAAATTCAGATTTTATCGGATAAAGTTTCGACCGAACAATAATAATTTTTGTTATTGTATCTAACAATACAAATTTTATTATTATATTATGATATTTTTTCTTTATTATTAAACTTTTGTATTTTTATCAAATTTTATTTTATTATAATTTATTGTTATATTTACGTAAAATATGTTTTATTTGCACTTTCATATTTAACTTTATTATATTTTTTAATATTAAATCTTATTGTATAAAAAGTAATAAATGTAAGGATCGCTGATTAAAATCGACGAAGATGGTGAAAGACCTCCATAAATTGATCAGTTTCTAATAGAAATTATAACATAAAAGTCTGCTATAATTAACGAGATTTGTCATTAGAACTGATGATAAATAATCAACACGATACATTTCTATCATAAATATTGCGTTGCCACCAATATTCATAACTAGTACAAAATTGTTAATTGTTGAAATTTTGTCTTGAAGTGTAATTACATAATTATTGAATTAATCTAGAAGTAATGAGAATCTTTGATGAATATTCAATTGCTTCTTATACTTTAGAAGAAGATATGCCATGCTGAAACGTGAAGTTGGTACATTTATTATTTTTTAGTTTTAAAAATGCGAAACTTTTATTAAAAACTGTTAAGCTATGAAAAGTATTATTTTCATTGTTTCTTTTAAAAATTAATAAAACGTCGTGGCAACTTTACGTAATTTTTTTGTTATAGACTAAAATACTGATTAATTTTAATCAAGTTGGATAGTAACTAAAACGAATTAGTAACTATAATTAAGAAGTTAAACGTTAATTAATAAAGTTAAAAAGTTAATAACTTTTGAATTAACTTGGATAATTTTAAATAAATTAATTTATAACTTTAATTAGTTATTTTTAAAACACTTTAACTTATTAATTTTTTTTAAGTTAAAAAGTTCTTTACTTATGTAAAAAAAAAATTATAAAAGAAAAATTCCCATATAAAAAAATAATATCTCTGTTATTTCGTATAAACTTAATTTACAAAAAAATATTAAATTTATTTGATAATCCATATTGTAATTTTGTTATTTAGAACATTTTAATTTTAAAAAAATTACGATATTCTAATTTAATATAAATAATTCTTAAGTTGTATAAGCATATTTTTGGCCCATGAGTTGTGGATGCAACACGGACACACCAGAATGCGATTTTATTGGCAGTGTTGTAAAATGGATATAATTAAGCAATTACAAATGGAAAAATATATGTACTGGCGATAGTGTGCTGCAGGAGGCTTCGACGGCCCCACAAAAAAAAGGGAGGCGAGAATGGCAAGATCGCCACTCTCAGGCTTCTCTCTGATGTACACATGTGCATGACATTTGGACGATAAGTGTATGTGTGAGTAAACAGAGTGTGCCGGTGTATAATGAACGAGTGAAAAGAAAAGATATAGAATAAATGAGCAAGAATTATGTAGCTCGAATGTATGCAGCGTACTAAATCCTTCTATTCTTGTAAGTGACGCGACATAGGAAAGCTGAGTCGAGCAGAATGCAGGAATCTGTAAAGTTCAACCTCAAAGAGGTTAAGTCGGATCTTCTACGCGCGATACACGAGTGTTCCCAGCGCGGTTTACTGCACACCACAAAATGGTACGTAATTTTCTGTCTGAAGAAATATGTTATATAGTCCCTTTACGTGTACGCTTTTGATATTTTATATTTATCTCTGTTTATTAGGTTAGCGGAATTAAATTATTCGTTGAAGAACGTAGAGATAGACACGCACGATCTGACTGCGGATGTCAAGGTGCCAGAGATCGGCGAGGCAGAGGATGTCTACATGTTGGCTAAAACGTACTTCGATCTAAAGGAGTATGACAGAGCAGCATATTTCACAATGGATTGCACAAATCCTAAAATTAGATTTTTACATTTGTACTCACGTTACTTATCAGGGGAGAAGAAAAAGATAGATGATATGACGGATGTGCCGCCGGATCCTTTGAAGAACGAGAGTCTGAAATATCTCTGTGCTGATCTAAGATCAGATCATTTGGCATCCAGAATGGATGGTTACGGGTTATATCTTTTCGGTGTAACACTGAAGAAGTTGCAACTCACTAGAGAAGCGATAGATGTTCTAGTAGAGGCTGTGCATAAGGAGCCTATGCATTGGGGCACATGGCTTGAATTGGCTGCATTAATCACAGACAGGGAGAAACTGGAGAGCTTATGCTTGCCTAATCATTGGATGAAATACTTTTTTATGGCACATATGTACTTAGAATTACAACTCATAGATGAAGGCTTAGCATTATATTGTCAACTACAATCAATGGTTTCAGAAAATGGTTATGTTATGGCTCAAACTGCAATTGCAGTGCATTATAGAAGAGGTAGATTATATTTAATGATGTATGTTTATAGATTGACTTAAATGACAGAATGTTTTATATATATATATATATATATAGGATGAATAATTATTTACAATCAAGACAAGTTTTGCATTTTTTCTAGAATTATATATTTTAGAATTATATAGATTGAGTTTAGAATTGTTATTAAATTTATTTTTATATTTAAATTTATTGCAATTATCAGAATATTTCTGAATAATATATCTATAAATGTATATTATATATTAGAGAAATAATTTTTATTCCAGATGTTGATAATGCAATAGAAACTTTCAAAAGAATAACAGATGAAGATCCATATTGTCTTGATAATATGGATACATATTCAAATTTACTTTATGTGAAAGAAATGAAAGTTGAATTAGCAGACTTGGCGCATAGAGCTACTGAGATAGATAAATATAGATTGGAGACTTGTTGTATAGTAGGTGAGTATTAATTTTTACAAGAAAATATAAGTACAATGATTTTTTTGTGGCAATTATAACATTAATGCATTTTGTACACTTTAAGAGAGAAAAAATATATTTCTTTTAGGAAATTATTATAGTTTAAGAGCTGATCATCAAAAGGCAGTAATGTATTTTCATAGAGCATTAAAAATGAATCCACAGTATTTATCAGCTTGGACATTGCTAGGTCATGAATTTATGGAAATGAAAAATACCAATGGTGCTATTCATAGTTATAGGCAGGCAATTGGTAAATTTTGAACTTTTTCTATTTGCGTCAATAGTATATATCATTTATATTTTTCAATTTATTTTCAGAGGTAAACAGACGAGATTATAGAGCATGGTATGGTCTAGGTCAGACATATGAGATCTTAAAAATGCCATTTTATGGACTATATTATTACAAACAAGCTCAACTTTTGAGGCCTCATGACAGTAGAATGGTTTTAGCTTTGGGTGAAGCGTATGAGAAACAGGATAAAATTCAAGATGCACTAAAATGTTATTACAAAGCATGCAATGTAGGTGACATAGAAGGAATGGCGCTTTTAAAATTGGCAACGTATGTATCTATCATGTAGAACAATACATTGTATATACAATATACATAATGTACATAATTTTTTTGTTTTATACAGATTATATGAAAAATTGGGAGAACACGATCATGCAGCAGCAGCTTATACGGATTTTGTAATGGATGAATTTCGAAGTGTTGATAGAACGGAGCTGAGTCACGCGTATAAATATCTCACACAATATCATTTAAAGAAAGAACAATTGGATCAAGCTAATCACTATGCACAGAAATGTCTTCAATTTGATGAAACGAAAGAAGAAGCAAAGGTGCTATTGAGAACTATCGCTGAGAAAAGAGCCAAAGTAGAAGAAACTTCTATGGTGGTAAGTAAACAACTTTTTTAAAATAATAATCAGCAAAATATTATTTTGTAATTATTCTAGGTGGATGATATGAACGAAACAGATCCTGTAATTGAGCAAACATCGCGAACAGATGCAACACCTGGGAGTCAGTTGTCGCCTATGAATCTTTCATTCACACCTACACCATAAATAAAATGGATTCCATTTGCAGTATATAATATTAATTCATAATTCTGTATATAAATATAAAATATTCCATAATTCTTTTGTATTATATATTTCTCCATAATAAATTATCTCTTTTTCTAAGGATATAACATATTAAAATGAGACCTTGAAACCCAAGTGTTAAAATATCAGTTAAATAATTTGCAATTTCCGATTTATTATTTTAATCCAGTTAAAAAGATCAGTTTTAAATTCAATGTGAATTCCTGCATATCTCCACATTTGACATTTGTAAAGTAGAAACATTTTCTGTCGATTATTTATTTATATCATTAATTACATTGTATCATATCAAAATATTCTTATCTGATAATAAACCTAATATATATAAAAATAATTAGTTCTTATAAGTCTAAAATACAACTGATTAGCCGTCAAAGGATTTAATTTGCGTTTGGACATTTCTTTTTTGGCGAATTATTATTGACCAATGTTGTTTCCTGTAAACGAGTAATATTAATTGAAAATTTGTATATTACTGCATTTTTCGTAATTTTCACAATTTAACTTTTAGAAATTGTAATTATATTTCTAAATCAATATCTATATTTACTTCATTGTCAGAATTGTCCAGATAATTTTTTGCTTCTCTAAATCTCTGAATGATTCGTTCATGTGGCGAAGTTACAACGAAATGCCGTGGATATTGATATTCTTTTCTTGCCGGTGTTGAACCTAAAAATAAATATCAAATAAATTTAGTTTATTTAAATTCAGTGCTACATATGAAAAGCTATATACAAAAAGAGATTTACCCGTTGGCATATCACGCCGTAAATCATCAAAGAATTTTCCAATTCTTTCTTGTATCAAATGTACTTCCATAATTGTCTCGTCATTCCAGGTAGATAAATTTTTACTTTCATCTATAAGTTTATCATTTAGTTCTGTGGATATTTGGAGACTTTTCTTTCTTAATTCTTCCGCAAGCTTTCTGTGATCATGACTTCCTTGTATTAAGACGTTATAGATATTCTGTAAAAAAAAATAATAATTATATATATGAACATATATTTAATAAAATGATAATCTTAATGATATAATTTACTTTAACAGATTCAAGAGAAGAAGAATTATCTTCTTTGAATTTTTGTTCCATCTGTTTTATGTTTTCTTCGACATGTAATTTGTTATGCATTAGTACGTCGCAATGATTATTCAAGTCAGTTTGAAATTCATCAGTCAAACTACGGCTGTGTGTTGCAATCTGTTCTGATAATGTCCAGTTCTAAGAAAATAAAAGTTATAAGATTTTACATATTATCTTGTTTATATTATTTTCATCTTTCATAATATCTTGAATATTACATAATGAAAAGTTAAATGTGGAAAGTTACCTGTTTCATGTTAGATCCAATATCATTCTTCAGCATATCTACATCGCTTTGAATTTTTTGTTGCAGTATCTCAGTTCTGTCAATAGCCTTGTGATAATTATTGAAAATATCATTAGTCGTACTTTCGCAAACCTCATTAACGTGATTTAATGTGGCGCATGTAGTGGAATAATTTTCGGTTACGTTTTCATTTAACTTATTAAATTGTTGCCATAAATGTTCAAATGACTGTAAAATAAGCACAATATATAATTTATGAATCAAATTATTACAAATGTTAAGGCTCGGTTCTCTCTCGGCGCGACATGGGTTGTGTGACGTCAGAGGCGAGAAATGATATGTTTCTTGCGTCGTATAACTTTATCTTGTACTTTTCTCTTAAAAACATATTTTCATATTCTTAAAACTTGTAAAAAATACCAGAAAGTAAGATATCTGTCCAATAAATCACATAAAAGTGTAAAATAATTCTTGA